GCACGTGAGATAAAGGAAGAGGGGAAATAACGTCTGTATGTAGAGAAATGATAGTTTTCTTTTTGGTAATCCCGTTGCGACTGCGAGTTTGTATACGAGGAATGATAACTTTCTTTTTGGTATTTACGTTGCGACTGCGAGTTTGAATACGAGGTGGGTCCGATGGATTAGATTGAGAGGTGGAAGGAGCAGAAGATACAGTTACCCTTGTTGTGGAGGGAAGAGGCGATGATATGGGGTTTTGCGATTGAGGAGCTGTTGTTACTGACTGGGAATTTTGGTTTTGAATAAAGGGTTGTGTAACAATAGGATGCGATAATGAATCCGAGGAAGAAGGTTGTAAAACAGAGTTTTGGGGTTCATGTGAAGAATTTGTAATTGATGGAGTGAATGTGTTTGAGGTAGACGGAGTGGTGGAAGAATGGGATGGTTGTGTTGGAAAATGTGTAATAGGAGGATAAGAAAAAATGATAGATGATGGTGGTGGTGGAGTTCCATTTGGTGAATTGTGAAAGGGAAATAAAGATTCATCAAATGTAACATGACGTGATAAAATGATACGTTTAGATTGGAGATCAAGACATCGATACCCTCGGTGTATTGCAGGATATCCTAGAAAAACACACTTAGAAGATCTAGGAGATAGTTTATCTTTTGACGTAGAAATGAGATTTGGATAGCACATACAACCAAAAAGACGTAGATAGTCATAAGTGACAGGTTTTTGAAAGAGACGAGAGAAAGGGATTTCATTGTTGATAGCACTAGAAGGAAGGATGTTAAAGAGATGGGTTGCCATATGAAGTGCTTCCACCCAATAGGAAGAGGGCATATGGGCCTGAAAAAGAAGAAAACGAATCATGTTGTTGAGTGTTCGAAGAGTGCGTTCCGCACGTCCGTTTTGTTGAGAGTATGAAGACAGGAAAAACGAGATTGAATGCCATTAGCAGAGATGAAGTTTTGAAATTCACGACTAGTGTATTCACCACCATTGTCACATTGGAAAGCTTTAACTGTTTTCTGAAATTGTGTTTGAATAAAATGATAAAAATGCAAAAACTTTGTGAAAACTTCACTCTTTTGACGTAAAGGATAAACCCAAAGAAAATGAGTAAATTGATCCAAAAAAATTACATAATAGCGAATTCCACTAACACTAGGGACTGGCGAAGTCCAAATATCTGAATGAATAATATCAAAAGGAGAGAAAACTTGTGTAGTTGAAGAAGAAAATGGCTGCCGAGTATGTTTCCCAAGCTGACATTCATGGCATAAAGGAAACTTAATCGGTTGTGAACACTTGAGAAAACCAGAAGAAATTAAAAAACGAAGCGTTGCACTCCCGGGATGACCGAGGCGGCGATGCCAAAGATTGGCAGAGGAAGTGGTGGAGATGAGAGCTTGCGAGTGAGAACGTGAGGATGGTGATATGGAGTAAAGGGGACCAGAGCTGTCACATCGGATTATAGGTGTCCGAGTTTGAAGATCCTTTGCCAAAAAACCAAAAGGATCAAACTCAATAGAACAAGAATTTTCTTTTGTAAATTGACGTACGGAAATCAAATTTTTTAAAATTCCTGGGCAAAGCAAAACATTTTGAAGATAAAGAGGACGAGTTAAAGTAGAAAATGAAGTTTCACCCTTTGCGGTGACCGGTAGTGACGAACCGTTACCAACTGTTACCAATGGAAGAGTAGAGGGAGAGGATAATTGAATGAAAGAGAGCTTACCTGGTTGTGAAGTTAGGTGTGCAGTTGCGTCTGTGTCCATGTACCATCCGGAATCAGTCGGATCTTGTAAGGTCATTGTGTTGAAAGCACCAGCGAGCATAGTTGGAATGAGATCCTGATTCATTTCTCCCTGATGTTGTGGTTGATTAGTCTGAGATAAATAAGCAGCACCACGTTGTTGTTATGGCATTGATCCAAGAATTCCAGATTGCGCAGGTGAAAACGGAGTCTGAAATTGTTGTTGTTGGGGACGATTATACCAGTTTTGTTGAGGCCAAACAGGATGATGTTGTGGCCATACTGGTTGTTGATGGGGCCAAGACCACGGAGGTAAAGATGATTGACGAGAGTTCCAATTCTGGCTGTTGTTATTACGTCCTCTTCCTTGACTTTGACGACCACGATTTCCTCTGTTGTTGCGATAGCCTCTGTTATTGTTATTGTATCCACGATGATTGGTGAATTCGGGTTGGTGTGGACGCGTTTGTGGAGTCATGGCTAAAAGAATCTGAGATGATGAAGCATTGTCGTCATGATGTGAAACAGATTGACGTTTGGTTTTGAGTCTAGATTCCTCATCAATGAGCATGGATCTTGCATCGCCGAATGAGCATGGAGGTGTGCGATGTTTGATAACATTGATGATGTTATCAAATTTGGAGCTGAGACCATTTAATAGATGCATAACTAAGGTGCGATCTGAAACAGGAGCGTTGACGTTGGCAAGCATATCTGAGGTCGACTTTAATTTTTGGCAATAATCATGAACCGAGAGATCTCCGATTGTCAACGTACGAAGTTCATTTTCGAGTTGGATTGCACGAGCCTCCTTATTATCGCGGAAGAGGTTTTCAAGCGTGAACCATAGTTCTCGAGCAGAGCATTCATTCTTCAGAACAGAGTTGAGAAGAGATTCGGTAATTGTACCGTAAATCCACATTTTAACCGTATTATCAAGTTGCTTCCACGCTGTGTCTGTCGGTCCTGTTGGGAGAGTTGAGCCATCGAGATGTCCGGTGAGGGAGAAGCTGAAACAGTGGGTTTCAAAAAGGATGCGCCACTGATCGTAATTCATCTTGTTCATGTCAAGAATGATTGGGATGTGGGCCCGAATCTGGGTTAGGCTTGCAGCGGCCGCCATTGATGCAATTTAGAATAAGTGCAGAAAATAGTTACAGAATAAAGAAGAAAAGAGAGAATTGAGAATCGAAAGTTGGGAATAGGTGCAGAAAAAGACTAAAGAGGGAGAATGAAAAAGACGAAAGAGGGAGAATGAGACTCGAGAGAAGCGGCGGACAAAATAAAATTTAGGTTATTTTTTTTTCTCTTAAAGCAATTGGCTCTGATACCATGTTGGAATAATGAATAGCACAATCCGTGCCTCTCTCTCTATTTTATTGATGTTTATATAGTAATATTACAACGGTTAAATAATAATTACAAAATATACTACATTCCTATTTTATTATATTTCTTTATCTATCATTTACTTAATTATATTTGATATTAGAATTTATATGAGGTTATAAGTAAAGTTTTGCTTTCAGATTTGATAAAACTATATTTATGATTATTTTTAAAATTTATTTTATTTTTCTAAAAAACTCGAAAAAGCTTGATAATCCTGTTAGGATCGGGCCGGGCCGGGCCGGGCCGGACCAGCCCGTTTGACATGCCTATTCATAATGCCTTCCTTCACGGCGACTTAGGAGGAGGTTTACATTCATTTTCCTCCTGGTTTTCGGACTGATGATAAATCTCAGGTTTGTCGTCTCCATAAGTCTCTCTATGGACTTCGCCAGGCCCCACGGTGTTAGTTTGCTAAGTTGTCTCATGCACTTAAGGACTATGGATTTACTCAAGACGTTTCAGACTATTCTCTGTTTATCTTTGTCGAGGGTGACATACGATTACATGTTCTTGTGTATGTTGATGATCTCATAGTGACGGGAAGTTCTTTGGGGGTTATTGAAGCATTCAAGGTATATATGAGCTCCTGTTTTAGTATGAAGGATCTCAGACCTCTTAAATACTTCTTGGGGATCGAAGTGGCTCGCAGTTCTCAGGGAATGTATTTATGCCAACGCAAGTACGTTCTTGATATCATCGCCGAGATGGGTTTGTTGGAAGCAAAGCCGGTGTCACATCCTATGGAACAGAATCACTCTTTGGCAAAATCCACAGCCACGCTTCTTCCGGATCCCTCTCGGTATAGACGCCTTGTTAGTAGGCTCATTTACCTTGCTACGACACGCCCATAACTTTCTTACTCCATACATGTTCTTTTTCAGTTTATGCAATCTCCCACGGTGGAACATTGGGATGCTGCAGTTCGGGTTGTTAAATATCTCAAAGGAAACCCGGGACAGGGGATTCTTCTACGTGCGGATGCTGATCTGCGTCTAGTAGCTTGGTGTGATTCAGATTGGGCCGCCTGTCCTCTTTCTCGCAAGTCTCTTACCAGTTGGTTCATACAGTTAGGTGGCTCACCGGTTTCTTGGAAGACGCGCAAGCAAAAGGTCGTCTCACGATCTTCTGCAGAGGCAGAATATAGAGCTATAGCAGATACTGTAAGTGAGCTTCTTTGGATGCGTGCGCTTCTTATAAAGTTAGGAGTGGATTGTTCGGCCCCGATCATTCTACATTGTGATAGTATGTCTGCTATACACCTTAGTGCCAATCCGGTGTTTAACGAGCGCACTAAACATGTGGAGTCGAATTGTCATTTTATACGAGATGAGATAGTCCGTGGCATCATCACTACGAATCATGTTTCTACTACTACGCAGCTTGCCGATATTTTCACCAAAGCACTTCGTCAAAAGTCGTTTCAAGAGTTTGTGTGCAAGTTGGGTATTAGTGACCTACATACTCCAACTTAAGGGAGGGTATTGGGCTGAGAATGTAATTAACATAGAGTTGGGTATATATTATGTTAATTGCGGTTTGTGTAATTAGGTTACCACATGTATATAAGGCGATGCCTTCACAACTTTATCAATAAGAAATCCTTTACACTAAATCAGGTTTCGTGACAAACTACATCATCATTATAATTGATGAATCAAATTGTTGTAAAGTCGTTATACGTATTCGTTATAGGTCATCTCGCCCCAATAATCGCTCCAATTATACGTTATCATAAGATTCCGTATATTAAGAAAAAAGGTTTTACGTAATTTGTCTGGCCGTTTACTTGACTTCTTAGCGTGTCGAAACTGGCAACGATTGCTATCCAAACCTCGTTAGAATATTAAAAAAAAAAAAAAAATGCATGTGACCATACACTTCGCAATTCTCTATATAACACCACCTTCTCATACTCGTTTCTTGGCAACCAAGACACATAAACCAAAGCATTTACATCAAAAACATTTCATACTGTTCTCTCTCTCTCAAAGAATGGCTTCGATCGTTTTCTTGATTCTAGCCATTGTGTTGTGGTCCAGAACTTCAGAAGCCACATCTCGTGGGGGACTCTTTGAAGCTTCTGCTATAGACAAACATGAGCAATGGATGGCTCGGTTCCATCGCGTTTACTCCGACGATTCTGAGAAAACGCGTAGGTTCGAGATCTTTAAGAATAACTTGGAGTTTGTCGAGAGCTTCAACATGAAACCGAACATAACGTACAAGTTGGGTGTCAACGAGTTCTCTGATCTCACCGACGAGGAATTTCGGGCGAGGTACATGGGGCTAGTGGTTCCCGATGGCATGACCGGAATCTCAACTTCGGCGTCGTTTAGATATGAGAGTGTCAGCGAAACCGGTGAGAGCATGGATTGGAGACAGGAGGGTGCCGTTACATCCGTCAAGAACCAAGGCGGATGTGGTAATTTAATTACTATCACATTTTTTTTTGTCATTCTATTGGATTGAAACTAATACAAACCATTGAAATGTAACCCGATCTATATCAAACTTTTTTTTTTAGTTATGTAAAACTTATTCAAATCCTAAATATAGTATATAGACACTGAGTTAAGCTATGTTTCACCTCCCTAGTGACATAGGGACGACGCTATATTTACAAACCATTATGATATATAATTCGGTCCACATATATCACATTTTTTAAAAAAGTATATGTTAATATGTAATTTATGAAAATGGAACAGGGTGTTGCTGGGCTTTCGCGACGGTGGCAGCAGTGGAAGGCATAATAAAGATTGCGAAAGGAGAGCTTATATCGCTCTCCGAGCAGCAACTGTTGGATTGCAGCATAGAAAACAACGGATGTGGCAGAGGGTTGAGGTCGAAAGCTTTCGAGTACATAATCAAGAACCAAGGAATCACAACAGAGGATAACTATCCGTACCAGGGATCAGAACAAACTAACAGAGTTTGCAGAAGTGTATGTCTTATTCATGGCTCTCGGCCTAAATATATACTTACATGAGAGTTTATCCTAACGATTAAGAAAGGTAATTACAAGAGAAAAAGGCAATTCTATAAATGTACAATATGAATATAGAATATGTGAATATCCCTCCTATACTCCCCTCAAGTTGAAGCATGCAGATTACAAATGCCCAACTTGATAAGAAGATTTTCAAACTGAGCACGAACCAGAGGTTTCGTAAGGACATCGGCAGGCTGTTGACGTGTGGAGATATGGATGGGAAGAATTTTACCATCGACAACAGCATCACGTACGGAGTGACAGTCACGCTCAATATGCTTTGTTCGTTGATGTTGGACTGGATATGATGCAAGATGAATCGCTGATTGACTGTCACAGAAGATACGAACAGGAGACGTATGAGACGCACAGAAGAAAGAAAGAAGCTCTCGCAGCCATTTGAGTTCTCTTGTAGCGTCAGCCATGCTTTGATATTCAGCTTCGGCTGAAGATAGCGAGACAATGTTCTGTTTCTCTGTTTTCCAGCTAATAGGCGAGCCTCCAAGAAGAAACGTATAACCTGATAAGGAGCGTCGCGTTGTCGGACAAACCGCCCAATCCGAGTCACAATAACCATCCAAACATAAATCTGTGCTGGCTGAGAGAAGAATCCCCTGTCCTGGTTATCCCTTAAGATAATGCACACTGCGCATTGCAGCTTCCCAGTGGGAGGTGTGAGGCTGTTGCATAAATTGAGATAAAATATGCACCGTGTATGCAAACTCAGGACGAGTGATAGATAAATAAATCAGCTTTCTAATAACTCGACGATACTGTGCGGGGTCCGAGTAAAAATCATCATTGGCAGTACCAAGATGATGATTTAACTCAATGGGAGTAGGTGATGGCTTAGCACCAAGGAGACCACACTCCGAAACGATGTCAAGACAATATTTTTGTTGACACAAGAAGATACCATCAGCATGACGTGCAATTTCAATGCCCAAAAAATATCGTGGGGCTCCTAAATCTTTCATATGAAAACACTTATGCAAGTAGTCTTTGAATGCTGATATGTAGAAGCATTGTTTCCTCCAATGATTAAGTCGTCCACATAGACAATAACATAGAGATCAATACCGTTTTTGATCAAAGAAAACAGCGAGTAGTCATTATGGGACTGAGTGAAACCGTATTCGAGAAGGGATGTTCTAAATGTAGAGAACCAGCACCGAGGTGATTAACGTAAACCATAGATCGATTTCTTGAGCTTGCAGACTTTATGAGGAGAGTCTGAATAAAATCCCGGTGGAAGGCGCATATATACTTCTTCCTCCAAAGTCCCGTGGAGAAACGCATTATGAACATCCATTTGATGTAATTCTCACTTTCGGACAGCGGCAATTTAAAAAAAACAGCAAACTGTCGTCATCTTTGAAACCGGTGCAAAGGTTTCCTTAAAATCAATGCCCTCTTTTTGACAATTACCAAGAGCAACGAGTCTCGCCTTATATCGCTCAACTGTTCCATCCGCTTTGTATTTGATGCGAAGGACCCATTTGCTACCAATAGCTTTCTTGCCCGGAGGAAGATCAACGATGTCCCAAGAATCAAGATCTTCCAAAGATGTAATTTCTAGTCCCATTGCATTACACCACTTCTTGAATTTCATGGCTTCAGCAAAAGTTGCTGGCTCGCTTTCATTCATGAGATTCGCCAAAAAACACCTATACTCTTCTGAGAAACGAGCGCATGAAACATAATTAGCAATAGGATAGAAAGTACCTTGAGGACCGTGAGGGGATTGGAGCGTTTGAGTGTGAGTGTGAGAGTGTGTGTGATCTTGGACAGATTTTGTTGAATACATGTGATACGGTGCAAGAAGAACAGATTTAATCTTATCACGTTGACCTCTTCCCAATTGAGGTGCCGGTTGAACAACTTCTAGAGAAGGTAGTGAACTTGGAGATACAGGTGCTGGTGAAGCTTCGTTAGTGACTGGAGAAGATAAGTCTGGCATAGGTAAAGGGGAGAAAGAACTTGTGCTCCCCCTTGACGATGATATTGGTGTATGAACCACATTTTCAAATTCAACAGAAGAAGGCTGATGATCTGAGCTCCCCCTTAACAACAAAACCGGTGCTTGTGGAGCAGAGTCATCAACAATAATTTGCTCCATAAACGTCTGCTTAGGAGGTACGGATGGAGATAAATCCTCAAAAGGAAATAAATCTTCATTAAAAACCACGTCACGGGTGACAAAGTGCTCCTTTCGATCAAGATCATACACACGGCATCCTTTTTGATTGTAGGGATATCTAATAAATGCACAACGTGTAGCCCGCTCATCAAATTTATCACGATGCCTTGTACCTTTGTGAGCATAGCAAAGGCAGCCGAATATGCGCAGGTGATCATATGTAGGCGGTTTGTTGAAAAGCATTTCAAACGGTGTTTTGCCTTCTAAAACTTGAGATGGTGTTCGATTCATCAAGTAACACGCCGTAAGTACACAATCACCCCAAAATTCAAGTGGCAAAGAAGCTTGAAAACGCAGTGATTGAGCTACATTAAGAATGTGTCTGTGTTTCCGTTCCATCCGACCATTTTGTTGGGGAGTACCAACACAAAAAGTTTGATGCACAATACCTTGAGATGTGAAGAATTGTTTCAAACACATGAATTCGGTTCCATTGTCACTACCTACAACTTGCACTTATTCACCAAACTGCCGTTCCGTCATGGTGCAGAAATTCTGTAAGTGATTTGCAACTTCACTCTTGAACTTCATCAAAAATACCCATACTGCACGTGAATAATCATCAACTACGGTAAGAAAGTAGACGGAACCGCACAAAGCCGGTGTATTGTAAGGTCCCAAACATCACAGTGGATAAGAGAAAAAAATCCTTGCTGCTTTATTATCACTATCCGAAAAAGAAAAACGAGGTTGTTTAGCTCGTATACAAATATCGCATAGAGCACTCGGTTTAGAACTAACATCTCCTAAATCAACAGAACTAGGTAAACTAGAAAACACAGAATCAGCAGGATGACCAAGACGTTTATGCCATAACTCACGACCACGAACGGGACCAACAGCATTAGCACGAGCTCCAAAAGCTTCCTGAAAGTAGTATATCCCATCACACTCTTCACCCGCTCCAATCATTATCCTCGTTGTACGGTCCTGCAAATAACAGAACTTGTCAGTGAAGACTGCGATGCATGATTTTTCTTTCAGCAATTTGCCAACTGATAATAATGTGTTTGTTAAGTTTGGAACATAGAAAACAGATGACAAGACAACAGTTCCTCTGAGACTGATTTTTCCTCGCTGTGTGGCAAGAATAACATCACCATTTGGCAAACCGATGGGACACAGGGAGATATGAGACACATCAAATAATAGATTCAGTGAACCTGTAAGGTGATGAGAAGCACCCGTATCAATAACCATACCAGATAAACGATCGGAGGAACATGATTTTGGAGTGTTGAGAAGGTGAACGAGATTGTTCCATTGCTCCTTGTTCAAGGTCAGCCCTTGCCCATCTTCATTCGAAATAACATGTTGTGTTCCTGAGGAATCTCCATTTGTAAACTCAACATTATTAGCAGAAGCAATACTTGAGAGCCAATACTTTGAGAGCCATTATTCCAGTCACCACCACATCCACGGTTAGAAGCAATACTTGAGTTTCCACGACCCCTATTGTTGTTGGAACCGTCGGTCTTGTTTTCAGGGAATCCATGTAACTGATAACAATCCTTTATGAGATGTCCGATGCGACTACAATAGTCACAAGTTATTGTTGACCGTGGACGGTTTGTTGATGATGTCGTCGAAGGACCCTAAGCTGAGAACCCCACTGCATCAGGTCTCGCAACGGCAGAAACTCGTTGATGTCTCTCTTCTTGTATAACCATTGAGAACGCTGTATTTAAGGAGGGAGACGGCACCATGCAGAGAATGTTTGAACGAATCGGTCCAAAACGTGCAGTATCGAGTCCGAACAAAAACTCATTACGCTGGATTCGCTCCCTTTTTGCTATTTGGTCTTTGTTAACCTTGCATTCAGAATTTTCACAACAACACGCTGTGATTTGTTCGTACTCCATCAAATCATCCCACATAAGCTTTAATTTTCCAAAGTAATCCTGTACTGATTGATTTCCTTGTTTGAGTGAAACAACACTAGCATGAAGTTCATAGATCCTTGGTTCGTTGCCTACGGAGAACCGTTCATGCAAACCTTCCTAAAGCTGAAACGCCGTTTCTGTGCAAGAAATCGTACCTCTTATCTTCTCGTCAATAGTGTTCAATATCCAAGCTACTAGCATAGAATTGATCATGCCCCATAACTTCAGTTCATCGCCTCCACCACGAGGTTTCTTAATCACACCATCGATGAACCCAAGTTTATTCTTTGCCTTGAGCGCGTTTCTCATCAGTTTGGACCAATGTTCATAATTGTTTTCGTTCAGAAGAACAGAGCATATGACTTGCCCTGGATCTGCGGAAGGATGAAGATAAAAATCAGAGAGAATGTTACTCTCTTTAACCGTATCGGACGGACCCGTCGTCTTCAAAGACGAATCAACAGAACCATCTTTTCCCGTCATGATTGGAGAAAAGGAAACAGAGAATTTTCACAAGCTCACGGCGAGATGTCTTAAAAAAAAAAAATGGAGACCTCATCGGTTCTCTTAGAGACAATGAAAGAGACAAAAAGAAGTATGGCTGCAGCAAGCAAAGGATCGTTTTTGTTAAACCCTAATGCTCTGATACCATAACAGAGTTTGCAGAAGTGTATGTCTTATTCATGGCTCTCGGCCTAAATATATACTTACATGAGAGTTTACCCTAACGATTAAGAAAGGTAATTACAAGAGAAAAAAGGCAATTCTATAAATGTACAATATGAATATAGAATATGTGAATATCCTTCCAATACAAACCTGCCCTTCGACCAACCAATTAACCACTGCTGCTACCATCAACGGGTGCGAGAGAGTCCCTGAAAACGACGAGAAAGCATTGCTGAAAGCAGTGTCTCAACAGCCTGTGTCTGTGGCGATAGATGGCTCAGGGCTTGCGTTTATGCACTACAAGAGCGGGATATTTGGGGGAGAGAACTGTTTGACGGATCGGAATCATGCGGTTACCATTGTTGGGTTCGGGACGAGCGAAGAAGGGACTAAGTATTGGTTGTTGAAGAACTCATGGGGAGAATCTTGGGGAGAAAATGGTTTCGTGAGAATCATGAGAGACGTGGAGGCACCCCAAGGAATGTGTGGTTTGGCCCAACTTGCTTACTATCCACTTGCTTGAAAAATCCCATTATGTTGTTAGAATATGTGTAAATGGGTTTGTTCAGGGTAATTGACAAAACCCTTATCAATAAGCTTATGCAACTATGGTCCGAAGTTTTCGTTGGAGTCATATCTATTTTCTAGTTTACGTTGGTGGAAGCATGTATTATGTTTTTTTTTTGTTTCTTCTTCTTTTTAAACATGTATTGTGTTGGTGTTATATTATATAAAGTTCTTGTGGTAATTTGATCTTTGCCAAACAGATACAGAGAAAAAACGTTATAATAGACGAAATAAAACTATTAACAACAGTATAGACAAGCATGTCACACACTCTTCTCTGCTCGTAACGTAACATCTAATACATGTGTCAATGTCTAACTATTTGAGTCAACAACCTCTTACCACATTTTAATCACCCCAATATTGTTGTTATCTTTTTCCACTCGTGTTGTCAAGCAGGAATTAAGATGTCAAGGAACTGAAGCAGCAGACTTATTGGATTTGAAACGGTACAATCAATCAGAGGCAAGAATTTTAATATCTCAAGTTTCTTCGTACTGAAATTATATAGACTCAGCAGAAATAGAAAGCTACAGTTATCGGAATATCGGATGTTAGATGTATAAGTCTCAAAGATGGTTTCAAGGGGCTCATATGCAAGCATTTCTAGACTAGGTACAACTACAAATTAAAATGCTACAATTATGTAATATCTATATATATAAAATAAGATTTTCTCTCTTCTGGTGCTGCCACATCAGCTTCCACCTCAGCATCCAATATTTAATAACAAACACTATAACTTAAATTTAAATTTTACTATTAAACTCAGTCCATTAAACTTAAATTCTATGCAACCAACAGTATTTGACCAATAGCAAAAGCCCAAAATTACATTAAATATGATACTATAAATCTCTTATATAATTATAAACTTCATGATGAAACAAATTACAGCAATAACAACCTACATAATAACATTCAGTTTATACATCAGTTTTTGTTATGACAAATAAAATTAGAAAACAATAAAAAGACAACTTTTTATCAAACTCAACCACAACAATTAAAAACAATAACCAAAAACTGTTAACTGATGATAGGTATCACAATTGAGGTAGGGAAAACTTTGATAAATAATCTAATCTACCACAAATTTAACCAAAACAGACTCAAATATATATCAACGACCATAGTATGAAACTTTGAAATAAAAGTATCTACAACTCAAAATAAGTAGATAATTTAATAGAATAAATTAAATAAATTTAAATAAATAACATTTGAAAACCAGGAACAAGAATCATCTCTCAAAACCGATGTTGCAAGTAGAACCACATCAAACAATAGAACTTACAGCAACATTTGGTGAGAAAAGAGAGAAAGAAACAATACAATGACGCCTACCAAATATATAAAGTTATTTTTCTTCACTTTTTATTTTGCCACTTAACCGTCTATCTCATACTTAAAACATTTCACTAACACAAATTATATAATTTAAAATCAAATTTCACTATTAAATTTAGTCCACAAAACCTAAAATCCCATAAGCGCATCTGACATTTGACCAATAGCACAAGCGCAACTTACACAAATTACAGTACCATATATATATAAAAGAGAAGAGGAAGAATTCTCCTAAATCATGTAAAATGCAACAATCAAAACTATTTGACAACCTACAAAAATAACATGCAGTTTTTAAATCAATTCAAAGTTATGACAAAAGAATTAGTAAAAAAAAAAAGAAAAAAATTACAATCTAATCCAACTGCAAAAAATGAAAAAAAAATCAATAACCAAATTTTATTAGCAAATCATATATACACTTAATTGAGGTCAGAAAAACTTTGATAAATAATCCAACTAAACACTAATTTAACCAAAACACTTCAATATATATATATATATCAGCGTCCAAAATATGGAATTTTGAAATAAAAGTTTTTAAAACCCCAAAAAACAAACTAATAACAAAATAATTTAATAGAGTAGATTTATAATTTTAAATGAATAATATTTGCAAGCTGTGAGCAAGAAATCGTCCATAAAAACAGATGCACATTAAGAAAACCATCAAACAATAAAATCATAGTGACATTAGGTTAGAAAAGAGAAAAAACAAATTAAAAATAATCAAGCTAATGTCAAACTAAAAGAAAGGTAGATAGATCCTTAACACAAAAGTATGTATAAAAACAAGATAAACATAACATCACAACAAAAGAATATATATATATATGGATAACTAAATATTAAATAATATATATATATATATACATAAAGTAGATAGAAAATAAAATATATACACACAAAATAAATATAATAATATTTTTTGTAAAAAAAGAATAAAATATGAAATACAAATAGCCTAAAAATGATTGGTAAAACACTTATGATAGCAAAAAATAATGATTTATTGAAGATCAAAACTCAAGACATACAATATTTTAAAAATTAAAATAGTAGATAAAAGAGAAAATATTTCATATTTAAGCAACACGAAACCAAATAATGAAATCAAACAATAAATTACAACTAAAATTTAACAACAAATAAAATTCTCGCGCGAAGCGCGAGTCAACAACTAGTATTGTTATAAAAGTACAGTATTGTTTATAGGCTATTTTTTTTAACACTAATTATAACTTTTATTGAATATGATAGGTCACCAGTAGGCTATTTACAACAACAAAATATGATTTATTATTTGTCAACTAGTAACACTGTGTCTAGATTCATTAAAAGATTATATATACATATAAAAATTAATTGAAGAATTTATTCAGGAGGGATTCCATTTCACATATATAGCCATGCATAAGAGAGACACGCTCGTCTCGTCCCTTGATTATATGTTTCTTGCGGTTCAAATTAAAGAATCATATATTGTTTTATCATTTATGTATGCTTAGTAACGTAAATATTATATGTGATTTCATATATATTCAGCCAATTTTTTTTTTTATATCGAAGATAGTTTCATCTGGATCACATATACCATAACCCATCATGAATCTATGGGTAAACCATCTTGGCTACTAGGTACAATTCGTGGCGAATACTTCACCTAATCACTCTCACAAATCTTAATTCTCGAACAGTCCTAGATGATCCGATATCATGATCATATGTTATGACTGATCTGTGACCTATTTGATCATTTCTGTCGACATATCCCATATTATCGGTCACACAAACTCATAATCGGTTATATAAACTTATTTGGTCAATCGACGTGCTAGGCTTGGGCCGAGGCCGTCAGGCTAACTTTGGGTTTAGAGGTTTACTGTAATCCAGGTTTACTCTATTTGGTTCAACCATATTAAGATACTCTTGTTGTCTTATATAATTGGGGGGTCTCTCCCTTAAAAGCCTCCAACCATGCATGGAATGAGACTAAATCAACATCTAGTTTAGGGTTAATGTATGCCTGAAACTTCCCTATATCCGCAACTCTTTTTTTTTTTTTTTTTTTTTTTTTGTACGTGTGTGCCTTGGTCTGAGAAGCCTTTTTGTGTGCCTTGTGTACGCCTCATTTATAGGTCACGTAAACCCGAAATTTCTCTATATCACCACAAAATACAAAAAGAGACGTAATCAAATATTGATCCATGACTAAAATACAAATTTTCTTTGAGCACTGGAAAATATACAGAATTGAAAGCACTAGAAGGTATGTAAATTTTGTGAAAGATTTTTTGGGGGGTGGTGGGGAGCGATACAAAGTTATTGAAGATGTGTAAATTATGGTTATACAAAAGACTTGAAGAGACACGTTGAGTTGACTGTAATAATGAGTGTGGTTTATCATGGTCAATGACATGGTACCTCGCTTTCTCTACGTTGCGTTTTTAAGGTTTTGTTTTTTTTTTTTTACAAAATTAACAAGTAATGTTATATTACAACTCAATTTATATTAAGTGTATTTTAGCATTCTGTTATATATTTATTTACGCTATACAGATGTCATGTTTCATGAAATAGATTTTTTTTTATATGTGATGTAATTGTAAGAATATAGTCAAAATAATTTATTCATTTGAAAATAAATAATTCTTAGTGATATTTCTCTAAAATGCTTATACAAATACTCTATCTATCGTTTAGTATAGATTATATATTTAAAATGGTTAATTACCATAGCTTGAGAGACCATCATTTCATTATAAGAGAAATTAAGATTAGAATAGACTAATATATGATAATTAATGTGTGATCAGATGAACAAGCTGGAACCTTTATCTTGTGTGCAGTTTTGCAGAGATGTGAAGAGAAATATTTGGTTCTTAATTGGGAGAAATGTCATTTTATAGTACAAGATGACATTGTTCTTGGTCACAAAATCTCTGGAGATAGCATAGAAGTAGATGGGGCAAAAATTGAAGTGATGATAAGTCTGTAGGCGCCTGATTCTGTCAAAGCAATGAGAAGTTTTCTGGATCATGTTGGATTCTACAGAAGATTCATCAAGGACCTCAGTAAGATTGCAAGACCTCTTACTGCTCTTCTCTGCAAGGATGTGAAGTTTGAATTCTCAGCAGAATGTCTAACAGTTTTTGAGCAGATCAAACGGCCCTTGGTGACAGCTCCTATTGTGCAACCTCCACATTGAGACTTGCCTTTTGAGGTTATGTATGATGCCAGCGATTTTACAGTTAGAGCAGTGCTGGGACAGAGAAAAGACAAGAAGCTACACGCCATATACTACGCCAACAGGATATTGGATGAAGCTCGGAAGAACTATGCAACTATAAAGAAGGAACTGTTGGCAGTGGTCTTTGCCTTTGAGAAGTTTTGTCAGTATCTTGTTGGCTCCAAGGTCGTGGTCCATACAGACCATTCAGCACTGAAGTACTTGATGCAGAAGAAGGATGCAAAGCCAAAGTTGTTGAGATGGATTATGCTTCTTCAAGAGTTTGATATTGAAGTTAAGGACAAGAAAGGAGTTGAGAATGGAGTTGCTGATCATCTCTCCAGGATCAGTATTGAAGATGACGTGTCAATCAATGA